TTTGGCCCCTATCTGTTTTCTCCCTCATAGAACCTAAAACAGTGGAAGAAGAAGAAAGTAATTTCAGCTCTCCACTGATGCTTTGGCTCCAGCAAGAACAGAAGAGGAAAGAAAGCATTGCTGAGAAAAAGCCCAAGAAAGGACTTGTTTTTGAAATTTCAAGTGATGATGGCTTCCAGATCTGTGCAGAAAGTATTGAAGGTGAGAGGATTAAATGAGGCGCCCGGCTGGCTTAGTCGGTAGCGCTTCTGACTCTGGATCTCAGGATCATGAGATCGAGCCCCACGTTCAGTGTAGAGGTTACTTTAAAAAAAAAAAATTGTGGTTGTCTCACCAGTGCAAGCTCTGTCTCAGCCAGATCCACACTTACTTGTATTAGTACTGTTGACGTGGGCAGTTTTGTGCACTTGGTGTTACAGAAGATACTTGATGGCATTATACACCTAACTCGTCCTTAAGAAGTTGGTGTTATTGGAGTAATAGTCCATAACTTAGCAGAGCACGTGAGACGTCTTCTCTCTCCGGTCGTGTTTTCTACCACTTCTTTGTGTACCTCAGATGCCATTCTCTCTCACCCCTGTGCCTTCACCCAATTCTTCCCTCTGCCCAGAATGTTCTTTTACCCTGGCTTATCTGGTGAACTCTACCTTGTCCTTCAGGGTTCAGCCTGGAAAGTCTTCCCTGACCTTCTGAGGCAGATAAGCACTCCCATTCCCTCCTTTCTGCTCCTTTTAGAATCTTAAATGCTTTTCTTATAGCTTAAATTTTGTTTTTATAAAGTCTGTTTACTTTTTTACATCTTACTCAACAGGGAACTTCCTAGAAAGGCTGGCATTTTATTTTCTCACTCCTCGTTGTATCCCAAGCATATAGGTGTTCATTAGCTACTGTAGGACTACTGAATGTTATCTAGGCAGTAAGTAATAGAGGAATTTGAAGGAAAGATCCCTGGGGCTGAGTTAGGGTTGTCAAACCCAGGAAGAATGGTAGAATAGAAGAGTCCGTTAAAGGAGATAACAGAATTTGGGTTAGGAAAAGAGAAATGAGAAAGGCTTTCTAAAAAGGGACATCAGCAAAGTTAGGATTGCACGTGGTGGGAGTAGAGTGCCCTCAGGTGGGAGGGGATGTTGAAATCCCAGTCAGGTACTAGTGAGAGAGGAGACTGCGAAGGTGGATTGGGCACTGGTTTTGGAAGGGCCTTCAGTGCCAAACCATGAGGCTTTGAAAATCTGGGGACATGGAATAAAAGCAGAACTTCAAGAAGCTTAACGTGGTAGCTCCCTTTAAGGTGGACTAAATTGGAGACGTGAGGTGGCAAGAGGTCACTGATGAGGGCATCGCTACAGTAGAGATGTCAGGTAATAAAGCCCGTTCCCAGCAGGAAAGAATGAACAGACACTCTCCAGGACTGCTTGAATATGGAGAGTAGAGAGAGGAGTCCAATGTGACTCTGAAGATTCAGGCCTGGATCACTAAAAAAAAAGATATTTAAAAAAAAAAAAGATAAGGAGAACAGAAAGACTACATTGAGTGTATGAGTTCCATGTACAACACACTGAGTGTGAAGTGGTGGTAACGAGCCCAACAGACAGTAGGAGATCCTAGAATCTTAAGTTGGAGCTGGAAGGGATTGTAGAGGTTTTCTAGTCACACCCCCTTAGTTTTACAGAACAGAGGTTTAAGGTCTCCCCGTAGTCTGGGTTAAATCGTTAACGCTAGTATTGTTTTGTTTAGAGGCATAGGGAGTAGAAGTGATATCCAGCATTCAGGTTTGGGACCCAGACTACCATCAAAGGATGTGAATGCTTTGGGGATTCAGGGGTCATTTTCAGAAGGCGTGAGCCTCCCAGCTGTTGGATAATGCACCTTCTCGGCCGCTTTCTTATGCACGGAACTCATCGAAACTAAGAAAACAACAAAAAGCCATTTTAGCAGGGTGTTTTCACCCTGTAAGGATTCTAAGCTCAATGCTTTAGCTTGCCACTGGTGTTAGAGATAATTGATGGAATATTTTATTTCCTCACAGATGCCTGGAAGTCACTGACAGATAAAGTCCAGGAAGCTCGGTCAAATGCCCGCCTAAAGCAGCTCTCATTTGCAGGTAACGACCACAAGGGGTGATTTTACTCCTGTCTCAGAGTATTCTGGTCTAAAGCTATAGAGTTGATTCTACAAAAGCATCAACCTTTTTTTAAAATAATTTTTCACAACTTCATTGAGGTATAATTCTTACACAGTTAACCCATTTAAAACATATAGTTCAGTGGTTTTTAGTCTACTGACAGAGTTGTGCAACCATCACTATTGTATAATTCCAGAACATTTTCATCATCCCTGCAAGAAACCCCATACTCATTAGCAGTCATTCCTCAGCCCCAGCGCCTGGCCACCGTTAAACAACTTGCTGTCTCTAGGGATTTATATGGACTCATACGATGTCTGGCCTTTTGTGACTGGATTCTTTAGCATAATGCTTTCAGGCTTCCTACCTGCTGTAATATTGCATTGGGACTTTATTCTTTTCTTTTTTTTCTAAGCAGATGAATTTCTTTATTGAGGTAAAATATACATAACATAAAATTTACCATCCTAACCATTTTTAAGTATACAGTTCAGGGGTGTTAAATGCATTCACATTGTTGAGCAACTATCCATCCATCCTATAACTCGTTTTTTCTCTTGTAAAACTGAAACTCCCCATTCCCCATTCTCTCCAGGGCCTGGCAACCACCGTTATTCTTTCTGTCTTTACGATTTTGATTACTTTCAGTACCTCATGTAAGTGGGACTGGCTCATCTCACTTAGCATAACGTCTTCGAGGTTCATCCAGGTTGTAGCATATTGCAAATAATATCCCATTGTATTTATATGCCACAGTTTGCTTATTGATCGATCCATCAATGGGTACTTGGGTTGCTTCCACATTTTAGCTATTGTGAATAATTCTGTGTGAATGTGAGTGTGCAGGTATCTCTTCAAGACCCTACTTTCCATTTCTGGGGGGCAGATACCCAGAAGTGGAATTGCTCAGTCATGCAGTAATTCCTTTTTTTTTAAACAGTAATTCCATCTTTAATTTTTTGAGGAATTGCCATACTGTTTTCCACAGTGGCTGCACCATTTTATATCCCCACCAGCAGTGCCCAAGGGTTCCAGTTTCTCGACATCTCCTGCTTTTTTGATAGAAGCCCTCCAAATGGGTATGAGACTGTATCTCATTATAGTTTTAATTTACATTTCCCTAATGCTTCATGACATTGAGCATCTTTCCATGTGCTCACTGGTCATTCATAGATCGTTTTTGGAAAAATATCTATTCAAGGCCTTTGCCTGTTTCTTAGTCAGGCTTTGTTGTTGTTATGGTTGAGTTTTAGACGTCCTCTCTGCATATTCTGGATATTAATCAGAGAGATGATTTGCAAATGTTTTTCCCCATTCTCTGGGCTGCCTTCCTGGCCTGGATAATATCTTTTTTTTTTTTTTTTTTTAGATTGGTGAAGGAAATATTTAGGGGGCAAGAAAGTATTATTTAGTTTTTTGTTTTGTTTTAACATTGTATTTATTTATTTGACAGAGAGAAAGTTCAAGCAGGATGAGAAGCAGACTCCCCACTGAGCAGAGAGCCCGACACGGGGCTCAATCCCAGGACCCTGGGATCATGACCTGAGCCAAAGGCAGATGCTTAACAGACTAAGCTACCCAGGCATCCCTGTTTTTTAAAAAATATTTTATTTATTTATGTGACAGAGAGAGAGAGCACATGAGAGAAGGGAGGGGTGGAGGGAGAGGGAGAGAGAATCTCAAGAGGACTTCACGCTGAGAATGGAGCCGGATATGGGGCTCGATACCATGACCCTGAGATGACCTGAGCATGATCATCAAGAGTCGGACGCTTAACGAACTGAGCCATTCAGGCACCCCAAGAAAGGATAGTTGTACATGGCCTCTCCCAGTAGTCACTTTGAACTGATTATTGATAATATGTGTAAAATCCTGCCCCTGGAGTAAGCCAGTGTCCTAAATTCTGTGTTCTCGGCCTCACACTGAGTAGCCCCTCCCCCCCCCGCTTGTTTTTGCCAACAGGACAGAAATTCCTTTGATTTATCCATGTCCTTTACTGCCACATGGAATGGTGGTAAGAAACCATGAGCTCTGGAGGCAGAAAAAAACAGTACAAGCTACATTTCTGCCCCTTTGCGATCAATATTACATTGAGTGCAAGCTAATTGACTTCTCTGAGTCTCAATCTCCTTATCTAAAAAGGAATATAAATGTGACTTCCAAAATTTGTGGTGAGGATTAATTAAATAATGAACTTGTTGTGTCACCTATACTCAAATAAAAATTAAAAAAAAAAAAAAAATGAACCTGACGGGTGCCTGGGTGGCTCAGTCAGTGAAGCGTCTGCTTTCGGCTCAGGTCATGATCTCAGGGTCCTGGGATCGAGCCCTGCATTGGGCTCCCTGCTCAGCGGGGAGCCTGCCTCTCCCTCAGCCTCTTCCCTTTCCCCCTTGCTCATGTGCTCTCTCAAATAAATAAATTAAATCTTTAAAAAAAAAAAATGAAGAAAAATAAAAAAGAATCACATGCTGTACCAACTGAACCAGCCAGGCGCCCCGAACATTGCTATTTCTCGTGTCAAAGCGGGATGGCGGTTGTTGGGATGCCCCATCCCTTTAGTGAAAGAAACCAGTCATTTCAGAAAGCCTTTCCCCATCTATGTCAGCAACTTACATACATTTATTTTTATAAAATGAAATCAGAAATGCTCATTAATGGCACGAGACTGAGTAAAACAAAGCATCTATCTATTATTCTAAACATTCAGTATAACAATGCAAAAGAGAGTTCTGTGTTGGGCGCCTGGGTGGCTCAGATGGTTGGGCGTCTGCCTTCGGCTCAGGTCATGATCCCGGGGTCCTGGGATCAAGTCCCGCGTCCGGGCTCCCTGCTCCTTGGGAGCCTGCTTCTCCCTCTGCCTCTCTCTCTCTCTCTCTCTCTCTCTCTGTCTCTCATAAGTAAATAAATAAAACCTTAAAAAAAAAAAAGAGTTCTGTGTTAGGGGGTTATTACTAATCATTCTTTTAAATTTTAGTGAGGTACCTGTGTGAGTATGAAGTTACAGAGCCCAGATACCCCATTAACCTATAAACGAAAACGCGATCATGGTTGGAGCTCCATAGCCCAAGCTTCAAACCTTGTCACACCAGCTGTGTGACTTTGGGTGTGGTATTCAAATTCTCTGAGCCTAGGTTGACTGACCCGAAAGTGAAGCTGGTAATTCCTGCCTCATGTGGGCGTTGTGACCATGAAATGAAATAATACATATAGCCTATCTGTGTACATACAGAACATAGAAAATAGTTTGGTGACGTGTTTGTTTTTTTTTTTTTTTCAATCTACCATGAACATTTTCTGTATTGATAGACCTGCATCTGTGTCATCTTAATGGTTCGCTAATGCTAATTCTTGGCCAGTGTTCAATGTCGTTCACCACGAGCAGCCTCTGGCAGAGTTCTTCTCTCGCGCAGGCCTTTCTTTAGTACCAGGCACTTTCCTGTTGGCTGCACCCTCGCTTCCCTGGTGCCTTCTGTCCGCAGGTGTTAACGGTTTGAGGATGCTGGGCATTCTTCACGATGCAGTCGTGTTCCTGATTGAGCAGCTCTCCGGTGCCAAGCACTGTAGGAATTACAAATTCCGTTTCCACAAACCAGAGGAAGCCAACGAACCCCCTCTGAACCCTCATGGCTCAGCCAGGGCTGAAGTTCACCTGAGGCAAGTTCCATTCTCTTTCCTAAGCAGCTTTGGGTCCCGATTTTATTACCTGATGATACAATCATTTTCCCCGTGTCACCTTTGAGATTTCCAGTGTCAAAGCTGTCCTTCACTGCTTCTGTTCAAAGCATTTCTGTTAAAGCGTGTTTTAATCTTTTGGCTCCAGGAAGTCAGCTTTTGACATGTTTAACTTCCTGGCTTCCAAACACCGGCAGCCTCCTGAATACAACCCCAACGATGAGGAAGAGGAGGAGGTACAGCTGAAGTCAGCTCGGTAAGTCTGGGGTGGAGGGGGTCATTAGGAACACTCTTTGCTTCCCTCTACTCTGGCTGTTCAGGGCACTGTGTGGTTTTGCTTGGATCAGAATTTCCCAGATCACATTTAAGACTGAACTGTGTAGTTTGTATTAAAGTAGCAGTAGCTGTTGGGCAGAGGAGAGGAGAAATTCAGATAACTGTAAGATAATATATTTTATTTTCTTTAACCAAAGTAAACTCTGTCCGCTTTGGACATACCACTACCACCACAGTTACCATGGTCGGAGAGGACTGTGTATATTACAGGCCTCATTTTACAAGACACTTGTTATCATGCTTGGCATTGAACAAAGGGAATGATGTGGTCATATTCTCTAGAAACCTTCAATCCAAGACTCAAAACTGATTATTTCCTGAAGAGAATTCATTAATAATATGCCTTATCTCTTTAGGAGGGCAACTAGTATGGATCTGCCAATGCCCATGCGTTTCCGGCACTTAAAAAAGACTTCTAAGGAGGCAGTTGGTGTCTACAGGTATGGCTAACATTGCAGAAAGAATTCCAGAAAACTAATCGTTTTCCAAAATTAAAGCAAACCAAATGCTGGAGTGACCTCCCTCATTCAGTAAGTGAGGTTTTTCTAGCTGTTATTAATGGAACCTGCCCCTCCTTGCGTTGAACAAGGAATTTAACATAGTAAACATTAAAATATTGCTACTCTGGTGGGCTCCCGAATGGAGAAATCTTTCATTCTTGGCCATTTGTTAAAATAAGTAATATACTCAAATCAAGTGGGTCCAGATTCTTTTTTTTCTTTCCAAGGGTCTGTCCTTCCTGGGGAACTGACAGAGCAGGTTTTATTCATTTATTCATGTCTTCACACAGTTAACCTGATTTGTGAAATTGGTTGCCGATCTCTTTTCCATCTTTATGTCCTAGGTCTCCCATCCACGGCCGGGGTCTTTTTTGTAAGAGAAACATTGATGCAGGTGAGATGGTGATTGAGTATGCTGGCAATGTCATCCGCTCCATCCAGACTGACAAGCGAGAGAAGTATTACGACAGCAAGGTGAGTCTCTCGCTTTCACTGTGCCAGTTCTGGCGTTGTTTGAGAAAGGAGCCATCAGCTAAAACTATGATCCTTACATCCCAAAAGAAATAGTATATTTTATTAATTCAAACATGCTTTTTTTCCCCTTTTCCTTTTTTTTTTTTCTTTGACATTTTGACATCTTTAAAATTTGTGGTGGGCCCAGGAGAAGCTCAGAATCCACCCTAAGGATTAATGTACAAGGATACTCTTTGAAAGGTTTGTTTGAGTGGATCCCAGGATCAAAGCACCTAATGACACGGTGTCTTAGGTTTCTCTTTCCCGTGGAGACATTAAGAAAGCTCTAGTCTAGTAGCTGTAATGTAGGAATTTGCCATGGAAGCATCTTGAAAGATGGGAGAAATCTGGACATTTTACTAGAAGAAACTTTTTTCGTCAGCAGTTGTAGGCCACATCAGAAAAGGGCTGGGAAATGTTCTCCAGCCTGAGCTGGGCTAAGTGACAAGGTCTCCCTCTCTCCTTCACGTGTAGGGCATCGGTTGCTACATGTTCCGAATTGATGACTCGGAGGTGGTGGATGCCACCATGCACGGAAATGCTGCACGCTTCATCAATCACTCATGTGAGCCTAACTGCTACTCTCGGGTCATCAACATCGACGGGCAGAAGCACATTGTCATCTTTGCCATGCGCAAGATCTACCGTGGGGAGGAGCTCACCTACGACTATAAGTTCCCCATCGAGGATGCCAGCAACAAGCTACCCTGCAACTGTGGTGCCAAGAAATGCCGGAAGTTCCTAAACTAGAGCTGCTCCTCGCCCCCAGTGTCGGAGTACTAGGACCCAGGCCCATCCAGAGCAATGCTGAAGGCCTTTGCCAGCAGCTAGGAGTTCCAGGATTGAGTGGGCACAGTTGAGGGGCCTCCGTGATGGCTGGGCTCCCTTACGTCCTATATTCACGTTAGACATGTGGTCCTAGTCCTGGAGAGAGAGATGAGGTCTCGAAGAAAAGATCCGCGGCCGGCTTTCTACTGGGGCCCCTCTGATTGTATGCCGTTAAAGAGTGGGAAATGGGGTCGCTCGCAGACTTGCCTGGAAGGAGCCTGTGGAGGGTTAATTATGTTGGGAGATGGGGCCCGAGTGTCTCCTCGGAGAGAAGTTGCCATCCTCGCCTTGGCCCTTTCCCAAGCACTCCAAGGGAGGGGTCAGCCGGGGGCCCCGATGGAGAGTTGGTTGGATACCTGACAGTTTGCCGGACGGGCCCAGCCTGTAGCCGTCTGTTGACCAAGCAGAGAAGGTCTGGTGGTTTTCCCTACTACCCTCCCACTTGAGAGTTCACTTCTGGCTGGGAGACAGGATTCTTAGCACCTTTGGTGTCAAAAGACTGTCTTGGGGTTGTGCCAATGAATCACCAAACATGGAGCCTGTGGGCTTTAAGTGGGAGGGTTACCCCCGGGAGCCTTATCTCAGCCAATTACCTTTCTCGACAAATAGGAGCAGTGTCCCTCTCGTTCTTCCTTCGCCTCCCTCCACCTCCTCCGCTGCCCCCCGTTTCGTCCCACTGCTTCCCTGTTCTTTCTGGGTGGGAGAGGGGAGTGAGTCCCTGCTCAAGGACACTCCCTGCCAGGCACCGTGTATGCCTACGACACAACCCCTGAGCCTGGAAGCACGCCCAGTGGGGAAGTGGACAGGAGCCATTGGTCATAACCAGACGGAATTTGGAGTTTTCGTAAAGCTCCACGGAGAGTTTTAAAGAAATATATGTAGCATGATTTTTTAGAAGAGGAAAACGATTATTTAAATAGGATCTGAATCATGCAACAACCAGAGTATCACAACCAGGATGACCCCCGGGCCCCATTCCTAGGACATGGTAACTTTATTTTCCCCTTGTTAAGACATAGGAAGACTTCATTTTTAAATGGTCGGTGTCCAGTTGAAGGCAGAACACTAATCAGATTTCAAGGCCCAAAACTTGGGGACTAGACCACCTTGTATCGAGGGACCTCTGCCACCCGCGCAAAATCCACAGGTTAAGTAAATTAAATGACACTACTGCCCTGATTACTCCTTAGGATGTGGTCAAAACAGCATCAAATGTTCCTTCTCCTCCTTTCCCCAAGACGGTGTCCTGAACCTGTTAAATTAAGTCATTGGATTTTACTCTGTTCTGTTTACAGTTTACTATTTAAGGTTTTATAAATGTAAATATATTTTGTATATTTTTCTATGAGAAGCACTTCATAGGGAGAAGCACTTAATGACAAGGCTATTTTTTAAACCGCGGTATTATCCTAATTTAAAAGAAGATCGGTTTTTAATAATTTTTTATTTTCATAGGATGAAGTTAGAGAAAAATATTCAGCTGTACACACAAAGTCTGGTTTTTCCTGCCCAACTTCCCCCTGGAAGGTGTACTTTTGTTGTTTAATGTGTAGCTTGTTTGTGCCCTGTTGACATAAACGTGTCCTGGGTTTGCTCTTTGACAATAAATGGACAAGGAAGGTCACCCTACTCCACTGGGCCACTCCCCTCCTTCCCGTGTTGAAGCTCCTCAAAAGGCTGTGGTAGTATCCTGACACAGCAGAGTCCCGTCTCCTTCCCCACACTCTCTCTCCCTTCTGGACTAGCTCGGAGTGGCGGGAGCTGGAATCTCCATTTCCCTCCTCTTGCCCTACTTCCGAGATAGCAACCAAGTTGAATGGCAACCTGACATTTTCCTCACCATCTGCCTCATCGGTCACCTCGTCCCCTTCCCCTCTGCCCACCAAGTCCTCATACCTGCAAAGAACCCATGGATCTCCCCCCACCCCCCCGTGCCCTCTCGTGGGGCAGCCCGTTGAAACTGAAGCACAGTCTGACCACTCACGATAACGCAGATTCTTCTCTGCCTCTGTCGGCCACTGGGTTTCAGAGCAGTGCAGTCCAGTAGAGGGCGGGGCGCCCTTTTCTCCCACAAGAAGCCCATTCCTCTGGAAGTCTAGCAAAGCAATACGACTCAGCCCTGCGCTCTCTGCCCCAGGACTCATGGCTCTGCTGTGCCTTCCACCCTGGGCTTCCTATTCTTCCGTGACCTTAAGAACTGTGTCTGGTGGCTTTGCTGGAACATTGTCACTGTTTTCGCTGTCATGCAGGGAGCCCAGCACTGTAGCCAGGATGGCAGAGACTTCCTTGTCATCATGGAGAAGTGCCAGCAGGGGACTGGGGAAAAACACTCTACCCAGACCTCGCCTCCCTTCCTCCTTTGCCCGTGAACAAGATACAGTGGCCCTAGGGGTTCCACTAGTGTCTGGTTTCCTTGATTATTGCACTGTGTGAGGTTTTTTTGTAAATCCTTTAATTCCTTTTTTTTTTTAAAGAAAAAAACCTTAAGCTGCATTTGTTACTGAAATGATTAATGCACTGATGGGTCACGAATTCACCTTGAGAAAGACCCAAAGGCCAGTCAGGGGGTGGGGGAAACTCAGCTAAATAGACCTAGTTAATGCCCTGCTAGGCCATGCTGTACTGTGAGCCCCCTCCTCATTCCCTTTCTACCAATCCCGAACCCTGAGGCCAGGGGAGGGACCCACATCTCTCCTTCTCTTGCCAGCTGCAGATGGTTTGCCTTGCCTTTTCACTCCCCAACTGTCAACCATAGAAACGAGTAATTCCTCTTCTAGCTCAGCCTTGAGTCCATTGCCAAAATTCAGCATACCTGCCAGCAACTTGGGTAATAAGCTAAGGTTTCCCTACAAGAGGGAAAGAAGGCAAAAAAACAAACAAAACAAACCGGCATATCTGTCTCCAAAACACCTGAGTTTGTTTTGAAAGTGACCAAGGGAATCTCCGCACAAAAGTGCAGACCGAGGAACTGTGGTGGGTCATTCCCAGGAATCCCCCAAGGGGCATCCCGAATCCCTAAGGAGTCCCAGCTGCAAGCCTGGTCAGTTCTTCGGGAGCGAGCCAGCTCCCAGAGAGCTTTGCTGCTAGAACCTGTTGTGGCCGCATTTCCTGGTGGCCAGTGATCTCTGTGTAGCCAGAACAGCTGCATGGCGCTGACCCTACGGCCGGAACTCGGTCCCTTGGCTCCCTCTGTTACCGTCCACCACCTCCAGCACAGCCCCTCCGGTTTTTAGACCAATCACCAGAATTAAGGGGGAAGCCCTGGCAGCTATAATCCATAGAAGTTTTCAACCAGACTCCTTTGCCGGGATACAGTCCGCCACCCCGCTTGCCTCTGTCAGCAACCCCCGGCCAATGCAGTGAGCACCATGCAGCTCCCTTGATTGAAAATATACAACAACAACATTAAGGAAAAAAAAAAACAAAAACAAAAAAACAAAAAAAATCTTTTAATGAATGTATCTTTCTAAAGGACTGACGTTCAATCAAATATCTGAAAATACTAAAGGTCAAAACCTTATCACATGTTAACTTTTAAGTTTGATTTGGGATTTTTTTTTTAACTAGAAATCAAGTTTGGGTTTGGGTTTTTGGTTTTCTTGTTTTGGGTTTTTTTTTTTTCTTTTTAAAGGAAAAGCGGGTCATTGCAAAGGGCTGGGTGTAATTTTATGTTTCGTTTCCTTCATTTTAAAGCAATACAAGGTTATTGAGCAGATGGTTTTGTGCCGAATCATGAATACCAGTCAAGTCTCACACTCTGAAAACTTGCAACTTTTTTGTTTTGGTTTTCAAATAAATATAAATATGATATATATAGGAACTAATATAGTAATGCACCATGTAACAAAGCCTAGTTCAGTCCATGGCTTTTAATTCTCTTAACACTATAGATAAGGATTGTGTTACAGTTGCTAGTCGTGGCAGGAAAACGTCAGTCTGGCGCTCCTCGGATCCTCCGAAGTTGGGGAGGGGGGACCCAAACCACAAAGGGACGGTGACGCGGTCCGTTCCCAGGGTCAGAGAGGAACGCGGAAATGGTGTCACCCAGATTTTTTCTGCCCATGAATGTTGCCAGTCAGTACCTGTACTCCTTGTTTCTCTATTTTTGGTTATGAATGTTGGGGTTACCACCTGCATTTAGGGGAAAATTGTGTTCTGTGCTTTCCTGGTATCTTGTTCCGAGGTACTCTAGTTCTGTCTTTCAACCAAGAAAATAGACTTGTGGTGTTTCTTTTATTGAACTTTTAACAGTCTCTTTAGTAAATACAGGTAGTTGAATAATTGTTTCAAAAGCTCAACAGATGACAAGCTTCTTTTCTAGAAATAAGACATTTCTTGACAACTTTATCATGTATAACAGATCTTTTGGTTTTTTTCCTTGTGTTCTTCCAAGCTTCTGGTTAGAGAAAAAGAGAAAAAAAAAAAAAAAGGAAAAAATGTGTCTAAAGTCCATCAGTGTTAACTCCCTGTGACAGGGACGAAGGAAAATACTTTAATAGTTCAAAAAATAATAATGCTGAAAGCTCTCTACGAAAGACTGAATGTAAAAGTAAAAAGTGTACATAGTTGTAAAAAAAAAGGAGTTTTTAAACATGTTTATTTTCTATGCACTTTTTTTTATTTAAGTGATAGTTTAATTAATAAACATGTCAAGTTTATTGCTGCACACGATCAAGCTTTCTTTCGGCTTTGGGGTGGGGGAGAAAAGAGCCGGGGGTGGGGCGGGGAGCAGCCGCTAGTGGCTGATACTGCAGAGTACCAGCCACGGCCTTCTCTTTGAAGATGGAATCATTAAATCACTCTGCTTCGCCTCCCACCAGGCCCCAGTCGACACTGACTCTCCGAACTGTGTCTTCCTCCCATGCTCATCAGTGGTTTGTGTTCAGGACCTAATTCCGGATATGAGGAAGGGGTCAGGACGACAAAGAGCTTTACCTCCCACATGGCCCCCCTTTTATTATCTGTGGGCGATGAAGAGGCCTTCGGCCGATTTCCTCCCAGTCTAGGAATATATTAAAATGAAAGCATTTTGGGGAGAACCTGAACAGCACCCTCTCTGCTTCACTCCCCCCTAAGGCAGAAATTGGATTCATTTACTCTCTTCCCCCTAAGATGGGTGGGGGTGGGAAGGCAGTTAAGAACTATTGTAAATATTCTGCCAAGCCAGGATTGCTAACCCCAGGCCAAATGACGTTGAGTTTGCACTACAGCCAAGGAACGGAAGACACTCCTCATGGGGGATGGACCTCAAACAGAACCTCTGCCCTCTAGATCAACTGGCTGTGAGGCTCAGCCCCCACCCCTTCTTCCTCCGTCCTCTGTCCTGAGTCACCTTCAGGGACTTGGGATTTGAGCACCATGGGGACTCCAAATGACCAGGCAGTGTTGCAGGCCATCTTCAACCCTGACAACCCATTTGGAGACCTTGTTGGGTTGGACATGGGAGAGGAAGTGGAGAAGGAAGACGTAGATGAAGGTGAGTTTGACCTTGGACTATAGCGCTCTGCACCGGCTGGCCTCACCCGGGTGGCAGAGGACGGTGGTCTCACGAGGCCCCTTGTTCCGTGACCCTTGGACAATGGTTGAGGTCGGAATGCGAGAGGTTGGCTGATCCTTAATGCACTGGTGGAGTTAACTCTGCCAAAAGGAGCAAGTCACAGTTTGTCTGTCCTTCAGCCCTCATACCTCTGAACTTAACCTCACCACTTAACCCACCCCATAATCCAAGCTCAACTGTGGTGGGGAAAAGGCGGGGGGCGATGCTCAACTCACATCTTTGTCATGACAGGACGTTTCACTCCACACAGAATGGAAGGGCAGGGGTGGCTCAGTTGAATTGTTCCGACCTTAGCGTGAAGAACCTAAGCAAGCCCTCAGTGTTACACACCTTTACAAGCCCAGCCCTGAGCTAATCCCTCCACAGAGTGAATGCACTCCCTGGCCCTTCCTTCAGTCTCTAATGGGCCTTATATCTCCATCAGGAGTTTTTTGTTTTAGTTAAGTAGGCTCTATGCCCAACATGGGGCTTGAACTCATGACCCTGAGGTCAAGAGTCGCATGCTCTACTGACTGAGCCAGCCAGGCGCCACCCCCACCCCCATCAGGAGTTTTTGATGACCTTTGTTTCTAAAGGAGTGAAGCCTAGGTCTTACGGAAACTTCAGTCTGAAAAGCTGACATGATTTTCATGACCCAAGTATGTCTCGGTGGTCTTCATGTTGGAGGCAGAATAGTAGAACAAAATGGGGACAGGCTAAGGAGCCTGGAAGACCTGGGTTCAAATCCAAGCTGTGCATTTAGGAGCTGTGTGACCTTGAGTAAGGCATTTAGCTATGGGCTGAGTTTGGGCTTCATTCTCTTGGCAATGAGCCGACCAAAGTCCCTTTCCCAGGTCCCTTTGGAACTTAGTGCTAGCTCTCAGCCTTGGTGACCTCAGCTCCCTCTGCCCACGACACTGCATCCAACTCCTTCTGTGACCCACATCCCAGCCCAGTCTGCTCCCACTCAGGCCCCAGCTTTCTAAAGCCAAGGGGGCTTTTGCTTCTTGCTCCCAACTGCGTAACTCTCCCCTCCTGGCTCCCTCCCCAACACAGATGGAGTTTTCCCGCGAGCACAGTTGGAGCAGTCCAAGGCCCTGGAGCTGCAGGGGGTGATGGCCGCAGAGGCTGGCGACCTCAGCACAGCCCTGGAGAGGTTTGGCCAAGCCATCAACCTGCTGCCTGAGAGGGCCTCTGCCTACAACAACCGGGCCCAGGCCCGCCGACTCCAAGGAGATGTGGCAGGTGAGGGGAGACGCCCTGGAGCTTCTGCAGGGGGGCCCTGGAGTCCACAGACCAGAGATGAAGTGCTTGTGGGGCTGGGGAGTCACTAAACTGTTCTGGAACCTATGTTCTTACTTATAAGAGATACCTTACGGGCCCTGCTAATCTCTTGGGGCAATTGTGAAAATCAGAAGAGATTGCATTCCACTCGTTTATTTAATAAACATTTAATGGGAGTCTACTATTGTAGCAGTGGGCTGGGCGCTGAGGACAAAGATGCAAGACAGACTACTTACAGCAACTACTATGTGCCAGGCATCCAGCACTTTCCACGTGAGCTCTAGTAACTCATTTAATCCTCACTACCACCCCAAAAGTTGTGTGCTATTGTAACCACCATTTTACAGATGAAGAACCTGGAGCAGAGCTGGGATTTGAACCAGGTGGCAGGGCTTCAGTCTGTGCTCTGAATGCTCACAGTCCAGAGGGTAGGACAGACACATAATTGTGATTATGTGTCTAACAAGCTGAGAGGGTTCAGTGTGGTATCTGCCCCTGAGGGGTGAGTTTTCTTTTCTTTTTAATTTTTTTTAAAAGATTTTATTTATTTATTTGAGAGAGAGAGAGAGAGTGTAGGGGGAGGGGCAGAGGGAGAGGGAGAAGCAGACTCCCTGCTGAGCAGGGAGCCCCATGTGGGGCTCTACCCCAGGACCACGACCTGAGCCAAAGGCAGAGGCCTGAGACACCCAGGTGCCCCGAGGGGTGAGTTTGAAAGGATGAGTAGGAGGTAGCTGGATGGAGGGGACAGAGTGGGAGCCTGTAGAGACCCAGAGGCATGATAAAGTATACGGAACTTCAGATCTCCATGCTGGCTGGAACGGGGAGGGGTGAAAGGGTAGAGTAGAGCCTGGAGAAGTAAATAGGGACCTGATGGTGAAGAACCGGGAATGTTAGGCAGAGGTTGCACTGTGTCTTGAAAACATGGTCAGTCGTTAAAGGATTTTAACTGGGGAGTGACTGGGTCAAACCTGCTGCACTTGGGTTGTCCCCTCTGGAATGGGGACAATGGGACAGAGAAGGCCATGCTGGGGACCAGAGGGCAGACGGATGTGAAGGAACGCCAGTCTGGGGGCTTTGGACTCCACTCTGGGAACAGTGGGGAACCACGGGTCCTTTTTCCAGGCTTTGTTACCTGACTGGGGCAGGGCAGGGCAGGGCAGGGCTGGGCCAGGCTGTAAAAGCAGCCAAGGACAGTCTGCAGACCAAAACCCCAGAGAGGAACAGAGGTGACTGATGCTGCCTGGAAAAGGTTTTCAATTCCTCCAGACCAGCTCCTCGGAGGGAAAGCCAGAACCGCTGTGATCAGAGAGCTTCTTAACCGTCTGGGTGGCCTGGGGAGCACAGCCCCTGCTGGGTTCTGGGCTCAAAACACACAGAGACAGGACAGAGATAGGCCTCTCTGTAGGATGATGCTGGAGCTCCTCAAGACCCTGACAGCTCTTCCGACTAGAGAACAGGAGTGAACCGAGGCAGAGCCCAGAAGAATTGCAGCTGGGCTCTAAGGTACATACCGGCTGGCTGCCTGAGCTTGAGTTCAGAGTTCTAATGCCCAATCCAAGTATTTTATGAGAATGATAAACATAACAATGTCCATGTCCGGGGCCAGCTCTGGCTCCAAGATCTCCTTTAATGAAACACAAAATATTGCATTTGTATACAATATAATGAAGATCATGGAGATGAAGAATGAGGAAAGGCAGTCAGAGGGAGAACAGGTTTAAAGCATACAATGAATGAGAGGAGAGAAATGCCTGCAAAAGGAAAAGAAAGAGAAATGAATTTTATTTGTAAGAAATGGTTATCAGTACATTATAATTTTTTAAGACTTTCAGATTCAGAGTCAGTCCCCTGTCACAGGGTAGATGCTTAATAGCGTCCGAGTGGAATATGCTGCCTCTACCACTGCTGGACAATGGGCCGGATTCATGAACATAGTGACCATTCAAAATCGCCCCAGCACCCGTGGTGTTCTGGTGTCCTGGATCCTGAAAGCTAATAGGGACTCCCAGCTCTGCCACTACAGACGGGCTGCGCAGCCCAGCGCAGGTCTTGCCAGCTTCGCCAGTCGGCCTCGGTGTGATGGGAGGAACGGTGCCCAGCTGCGGAGCAAGGGCAGGCGGGCTGTTGGGGGGCCGGAGCCCCGGGCCCGCGGTCCTGACCCGCCCGCTCGCCCTTCCCGCAGGCGCCCTGGAGGACCTGGAGCGCGCCGTGACGCTGAGCGGCGGCCAGGGCCGCGCCGCGCGCCAGGGCTTCGTGCAGCGCGGGCTCCTGGCGCGGCTGCAGGGCCGGGACGACGACGCCCGCGGCGACTTCGAGCGGGCGGCGCGGCTGGGCAGCTCGTTCGCGCGGCGCCAGCTGGTGCTGCTGAACCCCTACGCCGCGCTGTGCAACCGCATGCTGGCCGACGTGATGAGGCAGCTGCGCGGGCCCTGCAACGGCCGCTGAGCCGAACCAATAAAGCTGTTGGCTCTCCCGGACTCTCGCCAGTGTCTGCGTCCAGCCGCAGGGCACTCCGCGGTCCGCCGCGGTCGGGACGGGGCGGGGGGAGAAAGGGGTGGGGGCGGGGCCGGCCGGCCGGGCTCGGGCGTTGATTGGCCCCGCCCGGCCCCGCCCGGCCCCGCCGCGGACTGCAGCGCCCCGCAGACCTGAGCAGTCGCTTGTGCTGAGCGCGGGGAGGGCGCCAGGTGAGCCGCCCTGGGGGGATGGGGGGGCGCGGGGCTGCCGCGCGACCCCCACCGCCCGGACCCCCCCGCCGCTCCGGCCCACTTACGCCCAGGCCCCTAAGGGTGGAAAGCGGGCGTGGGGCGACAGATGGCAGGGGGAAGGGACGAGGGAGAGACGGGCCGGGAGGACGGTCCCTTTGGGGGAGGGGCCCCGCGCCGCGAGTCTGCGTGTGCGCGCGCGCGTGTGTGTCGGGCCGCGTGCGGGCTGCGCGGTTGCGCGCGGTCTCTGCGCCCCCCCGGGCAGGCGCCTGTTTGTCGCCGGGAGGCGGCGCCCGGTTCTGCGCCCGCAGGCTGGGCGGCTGCGTGGGCTCGGGCCTTCGCGCTGGGCGTCCTTGCCTTCGCCACTGCGGGTCAGTCTCCATTTGTGTGTCGGTGCACGGTGTATTTTTGTTTCTGGAGAGTAAGTTCCTGGAGGAATTACTCAGCCTGCCTCCGGTCACCTGGCTAACGTCGAGGCCCGCCCCCTTCTTTCGGCAGCCTGGGGCCTAGGCCTGAGCCGCCATGGCGCTGTGCCCAGGCCCAGCTACCCTCCCGCACACACTGCTGCTCCTGCCAGCCCTTCTGAGCTCAGGTACACCCCCGTTCACCCTTTGGCCAAGCACTTCTCGGGGCAAGCGCCCCTGTCTCCCCTCACCTCGGGTTTGGGTACCCGCTTCAGGCCCCAGAGCACCAGAGCTGGGTTCCCCTCAGCCACCTACCCACGGTCCAGCCAGTTCTTGTGAGCGAGCCTGGGTGCCCCGGCTCTTGGTCTGCTGCCCTTCTGTAACTGGATCGCGTGCTGGTCACAGACCAGTCCCACCCCTCCCCCAGCTCTCCCCAGAACCCCCTGCTGTGTTCCAGGTTGGGGGGAATTGGCACCAGAAATTGATGGTCAGACCCGGGCCGAGCTGGCACTTCGGGAGAACGAGCGGCACGCCTTCACCTGCCGCGTGGCAGGGGGGCCTGGAACCCCCCGATTGGCCTGGTACCTGGACGGACAGCTGCAGGAGGCCAGCACCTCGAGACTGCTGAGCGTGGGCGGGGAGGCCTTCACTGGAGGCACCAGCACCTTCACTGTTACTGCCCAGAGGGCCCAGCATGAGCTTAACTGCTCCTTGCAGGACCCCGGCAGTGGCCGGTCAGCGAATGCCTCCATCATCCTCAACGTGCAATGTGAGTGCCCCTGAGGTGGGCGGGGACAGAGGTTCTCTGCCTTGCTGGTCTGATAGACCCCTTAACACTTAAGCACTTTGAAAATATTAACTCACATTATCCTCAGGATAATCCTATGAGGTAATTATTATTGTTTTTTTTTTGAGGTAATTATTATTGTTAACCCCATTTCACAAATGAGAAAACTGAGCCGCAGATTGGTTAAGTTAATATGTCTGCAGTCCTACAGCTGGTAGGCAGAGCCAGGATTCAAATCGAGACATTTTGGTTCTAGTGTTTCTACTGTGTTTGTTTTTTGGTTTTTTTTTGAAGATTTTATTTATGTATATTTTGACCGAGAGAGAGAGACAGTGAGAGAGGAAACACAAGTAGGGGGAGAGGGAGAAGCAGGCTTCCCACCAAACAGGGAGCCCGATGTAGGGCTCGATCCCAGGACCCTGGGACCATGACCTGAGCCCAAGGCAGACGCTCAACCACTGAGCCACCCAGGCGCCCCGAGCGTTTCTACTGTTAATCACTATGAAATGCTGCTTCTCAGGAAGACCCAGCCATCCTGTTTCCCAGTGCCCCCTTGAGGAGAGGTCCAAGCTCCTGGCTCCCTTCTGGGTTTGGGAAAAAAGGACAAGGAGTCTGAGGGGTGTGGTGAGAGTATATTGGCTTCTGCTTTGCACCAGTTAAACCAGAGATTGCCCAGGTCGGGGCCAAGTACCAGGAAGCTCAGGGGCCAGGCCTCCTGGTTGTCCTTTTTGCCCTGGTGCGGGCCAACCCACCTGCCAATGTGACCTGGATCGACCAGGATGGGCCGGTGACTGTCAACGCCTCCGACTTCCTGGTGCTGGATGCCCAGAACTACCCTTGGCTCACCAACCACACTGTGCAGCTGCAGCTCCGCAGCCTGGCACACAACCTCTCCGTGGTGGCCACCAACGACGTGGGTGTCACCAGCGCCTCGCTTCCGGCCCCGGGTGAGCACTGCCAGCAACTGGCCCAGCACAGCCTCAGGTGGGTGCAGGATCACAGTACAGAAATGAGAAGACCGGGTGCCCTCTGGGTGAGTCTTCTGAATGAGCTGTGCCAACCACCTTGAGCAAGGAAGACAGAGTAGTACTTGGCTCTGGCATCTCAGAGTTGGGGGGCCCTGCCCACTTCGAACCTAACCAGAGGACACACCCTGCAGGGCTTCTGGCCACCCGAGTGGAAGTGCCGCTGCTGGGCATCGTTGTGGCTGGAGGGCTTGCCCTGGGCACCCTGGTGGGGTTCAGCACCTTGGTGGCCTGCCTGGTCTGCAGGAAAGAGAAGAAGACCAAAGGTAGGGCCAAAGCAGTGGGGCGGGGGTGGGGGGGGCTGAGGAGCAGGGAGAAGGAGAGGGAGGAGCCTCAAGGGCAGCACGTGGGGCTTGGCAGGACAGGTCATCGCTGACCTTCTTGGGCATGTCCACGGGTAAAAACCCAATGCAACTCAGGTAGTTCCTGCAACTCAGGTAGCGGGAACCCGGTCTGTCCCAGAGCCAAAGCTGGGTGTTGGAGAGATCCCTTGCCTGAGGGTCCTGGGTCTGAAAGGGCATAGGGAGAGACCCAAAGTGGGTGGGCTCCCTGAGAAAGTGTGATTTCTTTCTCCCTAGGCCCCTCCCGGCGCCCATCCCTGATCTCTAGGTAACTTCCTGGGGCGGGCTGGATGGGCCGACCTGAGATGCAGCATGGGGACAGCTGGAAGCCGGGCGTCTCCCTCGTTCTGGAATGGGCCCCAAAGCAGGAATCTGGGCCTGCTGGAGCCAGGGCATATCCCAGGCTCTGTCCGCCCTGTAGTGACTCCAACAACCTGAAACTCAACAATGTGCGCCTGCCACGGGAGAACATGTCCCTCCCGTCCAACCTTCAGCTCAATGACCTCACTCCGGATTCCAGAGGTACACCCTCTGTCTGCCCCCACCTTATCTTCAGAGGTGCTTCTGAGGAAAAGAGAGACCCTGGTACTTAGGAGGGGCTAGGCCCCATCAGGCACACTCCTCATCCTGGGCACACCCGTTTGTCACCCAGCAGGGAAACCAGCAGACCGGCAGATGGCTCCGAATAACAGCCGGCCAGAGCTGCTGGACCCGGAGCCTGGTGGCCTCCTCACCAGCCGAGGTACTGGGACATGGGCCTGTGGCCCCCCTCCTCTGCTCCCCAGCCCTTGTGCTTCTGCCAGAGGCCTCAGAGTCTCCATGGGCAGAGAGGGCTCTCCCAACTTCCAGGCAGTGAGGCTCACTGCGTCTCATGGGCATCTTTGCCCCTGCAGGTTTCATCCGGCTCCCCATGCTGGGCTATATCTATCGAGTGTCCAGTGTGAGCAGTGATGAGATCTGGCTCTGAGCGGGGCGAGATGGGGGGGTGCCCTCTTGGCTTCTGGGCCCCCTCCTCCTCCTCCAAGGCCACTGCTGCCTGGCCCCGTTGCCACTGGGAAGAGGTCATGCCTCTGCTACTTTTGCTTGCCCTCCTGGCTGGGGTGCCCTCTGTGTCATCCTCACGATCTGACCCTCAGGGGCACAGGTATCTTGGCAGAGCCACCAGCTGGATCTCAGCCCCTTGTTCTAACTCAGGTAGAGGGGGCCTTCAGTGACGCCCGTGCCCTGGCGGATGGAGCTCTTTGTGCAGGTGTGTTTGCAGGTCATCCGGCGTCTAAGTGTGGTGTGGCTCGGCCAGTCTGGGCCTGCCCTTTGCCACACACCAGTACTCTTAGCACTGTGTACAGCAGGCACGAGGGTGTGCCCAGTGCGGGGGGGCAGAGGGAGGGCCCTGCATGTCTTCAGTTTCCTCCCCATGCTGTGCAGCTTTGTTCCCTCAGGGAAAATTTAGGACCCTGATATTAGCTGTATCAAACCAAACTGCCCTTTACACGGGAACCAACCTCTGGCCCAGGGGCAGTGGCCAAGCACAAGCTAATCCCTTTTGCTACATACCTCTCCGCCCTTCTCTGTCTCCGCCTCCTCTTGGGCTTGGGCATCATACGTTATACATTGGACCTTCTCCATTTCCCCACTGGGCACTATACTGCCCCACTGACCTAGCCCTGGCGGTGCCAGGGCCTGGTGTTAGCACAAGTCAGGAGGAAAAGAGGGAGGCGGGAAGTCCAGTGGCACCTCTGGCAGCATGTAATAGCTATGCATCATTTTCTTACAGTGTTGGCACTTTAAGCACATTCCCTGGGGAGGGAGGGGGTGAGTGAGGCCCCCAGGGCCCTCTTTGTGGCTTCCCCAAGTCTGGCCTTCCTCTGATCTCTGTGAATGCCCTGAGCCCTCGGGGTTGACAGTTTCCCTCTCAACATGGGACCCCATGGCCAGCCCCTGACGGCCTTCTCAGCAGGAAGCCGCTCTTCCTGTCCACCCTCAGTTCTTCGGGGGATAGTCATGGTGGCACATTACTGGACAGAGCTAGAAGCTTTTAGGGGGACATGGAAAAAGAGGGGGGACCACATACTCCAAAACAACCTAAGAACTCTTTGGAAAGCAACATGGAAATGATAGCAAATTATTATAGTGCAGAGTCTGTTTTTCCCTAGTTGATACCTTGTTTTATAATTTTTCTCCTGTTAACTGCCTAGGACAGTGCTGAGCACACGGTAAATTTAATAAACTTGACTGAGTGAATGTTACATGTCTGTTTCATTTCTTTATTTATGGTTTTATGGTTTTAAATGAAATCTTTAAATCACACAGTGAGTAGAGGAAATACCTCTGTACCCACTACTCAACTCAGTTGAATCTTCTCACTTTACCTTGTTTGCTTCAGATCTTTTATTTTTAAAAATAAATGTTATTTCTTTAATTACACTGTTCTCAATGCAGGGCTGGCGTGCTCCGTTTCGGGAGTGCCAGAGCAGGGATCCTAGCTCTCCACCCAGTGTCTGGGTCTCACTTGGCAGACTCCCCATCTCTCAGGAGTGTGGCTAAGCCAGGCTGAGCTCTTTTGTCCTGGTTAGAGGTACAGAAAGCTCAGACTAGGCTGTGATTTAAAAAAAAAAAAAAAAAGATTTTTTTTTTCTGGAGAACAGGGAAAAAGACTAGAAATGAGAGTTTTCTTTCTTTTTAAAGATTTTATTTATTCGTTAAGAGAGAGGAAGAGAGAGGCAGAGGGAGAAGCAGGCTCCCCGCTGAGCAGGGGGCCCGATGCAGGACTCGATCCCAGGACCCTGGGATCCTGACCTGAGCCGAAGGCAGACGCTTAACCATCTGAGCCACCCAGGTGCCCTAGAAATGAGAGTTTTCTGAGGGCAAATTTATATCCTTTTCTGAGCAACAGATGGGCTTGGCTTGCATAGTTCTGGGCTCTCCACCCACCTCCCTGCTTCTCAGTTGTTCATTAGGGTTGGCCTCCATGGGAGTGGCTGAGGCTGCCCCAGCCTCTACTGGTTTTGCATGTAAGCTGCTTTGTGGCCCCAGAACGTTTAGAAGCCAGGGTGCCTCTGGTGACGGTCGTCCACTGTTTCCTTTGGGAGGTCCTGGAGCCCCTTCCTTGATGGTTCTTTGGCAAGGCTATAAGCCTTGTGCTCCTCTCAGCTACCCTCAAGGTCTTACTTCTGCAGAAAGGTGGGTTCTTCCTGGCAAATCCGTCCTCGCAAGTGTTTGCAAAGGGGTGGACTTTGAAACCAGTGTTCCGGTTTTCCCTTAGAGATTCCTTGCTCCTTTGTTGAGTCCCAGATCCCTTGGAGAATTTGATGAAAGGTAAAGACTCCTTTCTGAGAAATGCTGATGAAGAAGCCCCTGCTCATTATGCAGGTCAAAGTCCATCAAATTACAACTTGGGTGAACCTTGAAAACATGCTGAGTGAAAGAAGCCAAATCCAAAAGACCATCTGTGACTCCATATATATGAAATGCCCAGAATGGGCAATTCTGCGGAGACAGAATAAGTTAGTGGTTGCCAGGGACTGGAGGGAGGGAAGAATGGAGAATGGCTGCTAATGAATATGGGGTTTCTTTTGGGGTGATAAAAATGTTCTGGAATTAGTGGTGATCAAGGCACAACGTTGTGAACAGACCAAAAAACCATTGAACTGTACACTTTACAAGGGTGAACTTTATAAAGTACAAATTATATCTCAATAAAGCTGTACTTTTTTTTTTTTTTAAAGTAAACCCTACCCCCAGCATGGGGTTTGAACTCACAAACCTGAGATCAAGAATTGCATGTTCCACCAACTGAGCCAGCCAGGCACCCCAATAAAGTTGTAGTTTTAAAAATCATCAAATGGTAAGGGCGCCTGGGTGGCTCAGTTGTTAAGCGTCTGCCTTCGGCTCAGGTCATGATCCCAGGGTCCTGGGATCGAGCCCTGGGACTCGCTGCTCAGGGGGGAGTCTGTTTCTCCCTCTGCTTCTCCACCCCACCCCCATTTGTGCTCTCTTGCTCACTCTCAAATAAATAAAATCTTTTTAAAAAAATCAAATGGTAATTTGATTTGTACATTTCACTATAAATTTCATCTGATGGGGCGCCTGGGTGGCTCAGTCGTTAAGTGTCTGCCTTCGGCTCAGGTCATGATCCCAGGGGCCTGGGATCGAGCCCCGCATCGGGCTCCCTGCTCCGCGGGGAGCCTGCTTCTCCCTCTCCCACTTCCCCTGCTTGTGTTCCCTCTCTCACTGTATCCCTGTCAAATAAATAAAATCTTTAAAAAAATTTTTTTTCATCTGACAAAAGAACCATAAATAAATATTGAACTCCAGTTAATTATATGCATGACAAAGTGTTTAGGGGTGAAGTGTATTGATGTCTGCAACTTTCTTTGAGATGTATCAAAAAACAAGATGGATAGGGGTGCCTGGGTGGCTCAGTCAGTTAAGCTGCCTTCAGCTCAGTCATGATCTCAGGGTCCTGGGATCAAACCCTGCATCAGGCTCCCTGCTCGGCGGGGAGTCTGTTTCTCCCTCTCCCATTCCCCCTGCTCATGCTCTCTCTCTCTCTCAAGTAAATAAAATCTTTAAAAAAGAAAATTATAGGGCGCCTGGGTGGCTCAGTCGTTAAGCGTCTGCCTTTGGCTCAGGTCATGATCCCAGGGTCCTGGGATCGAGTCCCGCATCGGGCTCCCTGCTCCGCAGGGAGCCTGCTTCTCCCTCTCCCACTCCCCCTGCTTGTGTTCCCTCTCTCACTGTATCCCTGTCAAATAAATAAAATCTTTAAAAAAAAAAAAGAAAATTCTATTCAATTTATTTTTTTTAAAGATTTTATTTATTTATTTGACAGAGAGCGTGAGAGGGAACACAAGCAGGGGGAGAGGGAGCGGGAGAAGCAGGCTTCCTGCGGAGCAGGGAGACGGATGCGGGGCTCCATCCCAGGACCCTGGGACCATGACCTGAGCCGAAGCAGATGCTTAACGACTGAGCCACCCAGGCGCCCCTATTCAATTTATTTAAAAAAAAATTCACTCATTTCTTCCACCCCCCCATTCCCTGCCAACCAGCAACCTACCTGTTCTACTTTGATTTATAAATTTTGATTATCAATTCAATCTCCTTATTAGCTATCGGTCTTTCAGACTTTCTACTTTATATTTCTAGGAATTTGTTCATTTCATTTGGGTTAACCAATTTGTTGTTGGTTTTTCACCTCCCAGAGCAAAGTCACATGGTCCAACCCACAATCAAAAGATAAGGAAGCATCCTGTGCTTACCGTGACACCATGACAGGAGGGGCTGCATACTATGTAGGTGAGTGAGTTGTTGCCACTAATTTAATCTGTTCAATCTTCCTTTTTTTTTTTTAATCTGTTCAACTGTCTTATTGCCTGGGAGGCCCTGAGTGATCTGATCTTAGGTACTTTTTTTTTTTTTAAGATTTTATTTATTTATTTATTTGAGAAAGAGAATGAGAGAGAACGAGCACATGAGAGGAGGGAGGGTCAGAGGGAGAAGCAGACTCCCTGCTGAACAGGGAGCCCGATGCGGGACTCGATCCCAGGACTCCAGGATCACGACCTGAGCCGAAGGCAGTCGCTTAACCAAGTGAGCCACCCAGGCGCCCCAAGTACTTTTTTTTTTTTTTAAAGCAATCTCTACCCCATTGTGGGGCTCAAACAAATGACCCCGAGATCAAGAGGTGCCCCCCCTTAGGTACTTTCCAAAAAATTTATAATTAACACACAATGGTATATTAGTTTCAGGGGTACAAACATACTGATTTAACAATTCTATACATTACTCAGTGGTTATCCAATTTGTTGGCATACAGTTGTTCATAGTACTCTCTACTTTTTATTTCTGTGGAATTGGTATTACTATCTCCACATTCATTTCTGATTTTAGTTATTTGAATCTTTTTTTTTTTTTTAAGATAATTTGGCTAAAGGCTTTTCAATTTTTTTAAAACATGTTTTTAGGGGCGCCTGGGTGGCTCAGTTGGTTAAGTGTCTGCCTTCGGCTCAGGTCATTATCTCCAGGTCCTGGAATCAAGCCTTCCATCCAGCTCCCTGCTCAGCGGGGAGTCTGCTTCTCCCTCTCCCTCTATCGCTCCCCCTATCGCTCCCCCTGCTCATCTCTCTCTCTGTATCTCTCTGTCTCAAATGAATAAATAAAATCTTTAAAAAAAGAAAAAAAAATGTTT